AAGAAGACTGTAAAGGTTGAGAGGCAAAGGAAGGAGGGAAAAGGAAAATTAAGTGTACAGAAGAGAGATGACAACTCACACCAGTAATGGAGATGATAAAAAGTGGCCAAATCTTGGATACATTTTAAAGCAGAGCCAATGGATGATTTTTTTTTCTTTTTTTTAAGATTTTATTTATTTGTCAGAGAGAGAGAGTACACAAGCAAGGGGAGTGGCAGGCAGAGGGAGAAACAGGCTTCCTGTTGAGCAAGGAGCCTGACACGGGACTTGATCCCAGGGCCCTGAGATCATGACCTGAGCCGAAGGCAGACGCTTGACCGACTGAGCCACCCAGGTGTCCCCAATGGATGATTTCTTGACACCCTGGATGCAGTGAAAGAGAAAGAGAGACCTTAAGGATGTGTCAAAGATGTTTTTAGTCTAAGCAAATAGGATGCCAGATCAGCCATCAACTGAGAATAAAAAGGCTATAGTTGAAACTGATTTGGGGAAAAGATTATGAAATGAGTTTTGGATATTTTGGATCCTGAGACACTCAATCTGTACAAATCTAGACTCATAGGATTTTATCTTCCTATAGATGTGACAAGACCTATAAACATGAACTAGATATTTCAGATTCAAACTGAAAACATCAGCTCTGCAGATGACAAGTGAAGATAGCCTAATGTTGAACTCTGAGCTCAATGGAATCAGCTTTTGCACTATTTGGGGGGATGAAGTCAACTATAGAAGAAATTAACAGATATTAATTCATAAAAGCCACGCTTTAAATTCATCTGGCTGCCTCAATATACATCTGAATATCGATGTGGCTCAAGGAAGAAGGGCTAGAACTGAAAGTGTACTGTGTTTACCCAGAAGATACAGAACCCCTGGAGTTGAGAGACATATATATGAATCTCAGAACACGTCTAAAAATTTTAACTGTGTGACCAAATTCTGAATATATGGGTTCATCCAGCTCTGTGAAAATATAATCTTATTAATAAACTAGTAAAATCAAAGATTTAATTATTTAAATCATTTATTAATTCACTCTATCATAAACCTCATCACTATATAATTCTATAATATTCTAATTAGAATTTTACTCAATTATTAAGATTATATCTTCAAATATTTACAGATGATTATGTATGTTGTTAAACAATGGAAGTTATGTAAATCTATACTGATTAAACTTCATGGGTAGTAACCTCTGATGATATACGAATTCAACTAATCTAACTCAACTATCTAATTTATACATACGTTAGAATATTCTTCACACTTACATAAATCTTATGAGCAACACAATAATGATAAACTATGTTCATTTAAGAAACAATACATGGTTGAACTGGATTACAATATAAACTACCAAAAATATCAGTTTCAAGTGACATTTACAATAGTTTAGAAAGAGTAGAAAAAGAAGGCTGGGTACACAGGAATTCCTTTACTAGACTAACCAAGGACTCCACTATAACTACAACACAAGATCAAAGACAATTAAAAAAGGAAGTCTTGCAGGAAGCATACACACACACACACAATCAAAAAAAAAACCCAAAAAACAAACAAAACAAACAAAAGGTAGGTTATCCCAAAGTCCAACCAACTCTAACCTAAATAAGTTTAGGTCTACTTAGATGGTAAGACCCTACATAGATGGCAGAATGGAGAAGAGCTTAAGGAGAAAATCATTTGTCCAGGTCTTTGTGAGAAAATTTCAGCCCTTGTGTATTCAATTTAGTTTTAAGTGTAAAGACTTAAAAAGCACAGTCCTTTCCTCAAATCTAATAAACAGATCATTGTCAAACACCACACATCTTGTATCTAAAGGGTAAGACTTTACAAAGTTCCTCACTTCAAAAATCTTTGATCTTGTGGGAAAGCCCCTTTCTCCTTCCGGCACATGCTGTTCCCTTGCGTGCTAACTGCCCTGTGGTAGCAGAACAGGAAATGCAGGTATATCATCGAGACAGTCTCCAGTCAACAGTAAGGGCAGCCACAGTTCTCTGACCTGACTCCTTACAAAGCCAAAACAAAAAACACAAAACAAAACAGGAGATGGGAATGAGAATGAGATGGAAATGGGGAAAGAGATGGCACATGCAGCCACCGCTGGCTTTCCAGACCTCATATGAAATTTGATGACTTAGAGACAGAACTCAAAACATCTCTTTTATCTAGAGACCATCACCACGATCTTGTCTCATCTAGACCATTCAATAGCTCGTAACTATTCTTCCCAGTTTTACTCTAATCCCTCTACAATCCTTTCCTGCCCCCACTGAGCTCACCATCCTCATGTCAAGGCTCCATCCCCTTTACTCACTATATTCTGGCCACAGCATACAAGTAGCCTTTCAGTTCCTCAGGTCAGCCAGACTTAATTTTGCTGTTCTCCACACCTGGGATGCTCTTCACAGAACACTTTCATCGTTCCTAAATGTTACCCCTCAGAGAGCTTCTCCCTAATCACATTATTTTCAGTCACAGCACTCTACTGGGCTCCCTCAAAGCAATTTGCTCAGACATAATCTGTCTCTTAACTATAAGCTCTGTGAGGACAGGGTAACTAGGTTTGTTTTATTCATAACGATGTACCTAGTGTCTCAAATAATACCTACCATAAAATTTAATAAACGCTTGTTATATTACTTACCAGGAAACCTCAATTAAGACAGCTGATAAGGAAGGATTTAAGCAAAAAAATTCTCTGAGGAAACAAGTATCTTAAAACCCAAGTATTAAAATTCAAGCACCTAAATCCATTACTCAGAACAAACTTCTCTTTATTCGTAGTTCTGATAATGTTGCTTGTCTCATTCCCAACCTACAGTTCATCCATTAGATAGACAGAAGAAGTAAAACACAAAGGAAAAGCCCACACATGTGAATTTAAAAGGAAGCGCCAATTAGAGGTCTTCAAACCCCCAAATACCTCAATGACCCCTAAGAATATCACTGGGTACCAACCTGATAATATCTGCTTTTGATTAAATGTTTCAACTCAATCGAGTAATTCTGATTTATGCTCAGGGTCTTGTTTAAAAGCAGGAAAGCAAACGTTAACTTTTAGATGGATTTCCAAGAAAATGGTAAAGATTAGCCAAAAAATGTGCATGAAGGGACAAACACCAAAATTACGTAATAAGTAATAATTTGCTTAATGTCTACTGTGGGTCCATGACATTAAATTATTTTTGACTCCCACATCTAATCCCTGAGGTAGACATTATCCCTTTTGCAGATGAGAAAACTAAAGCTCAGAAAGGTTAATGGTTACAGTTAGGTTACAGTTAGGAAATATCTGAGAATTAAAACTAATCTGCTTAACAGCAAAGACCATACTCTTTCCACATACCATCAATTGCTTATAAATGTGTCTGATATGAGAATCGCCTAAGCTCTTATTAAAAATAACAATTCCTAAACTCTTCTTAAAGATTCTGACCGGGGATGTCAGAGCTAAGAACCTAAAATGTGTATCTTTTAAAATGCTCTTAGTGATTCTGATAATCGGGCAAGTTTAAGAAATCTTGCACTGGGATTAAGCTAGACTACCTGAACACTGAAAGTCTGGTTTAAGATCTGATTTTATAAATGGATTCTGAAACAAATTATGAAAAGTCACAAAAAATCTTACACAGAAGATAACAAAGGACACTAAAAAGTTATCTGTTGCTACATGTTATACTTAAAAGTCTAATTTTATTGAGAATAAAATCTTAAGTAGCTTTATAGATTAGAAAGCAAAACTAGACACAGATACGAGAGAGACATAAAAGATCCCCTTCTGAGTACAGTTGGTCCAATATCCTGAGCCTTTAACCTATTAGGAATATAAACTCAAGTTTGAGTTCAAGAGCAGCTCTCAAAGTAAAAATACTATTCTTTAAAGAAATATTATTATTCAGAGTAATGTTATTTAGAATAATAGTATTTGAGTAATTACCATCATAAATAATTTCATGTAACTTATTTTTCACCATTTAGTCCCTGTATTCCACTTAGCTAGTCACATAAAATTTTAAGCACCAGTCAATTTTACATCTGTTAATAGGCAGAAATCCAACACTGAACTGTTTGGACTGAAACACCATGTAAATTTCAAACTCAAATACAGTAAAATTTTGGAAACTTCAGTTTACTACCACATTCCTCATTTCTTCAAGAAAGTTTACCCACTGAGAAGTTTTAGTAGTTGGTCCAATTATTTAGCATTTTTTTTCCTTTGCATTCTCAAAAGATATGTTCAATGCTATATTCTAAATCAAACTAACTTCCTTTCAAATGATAAGGAATAAGAAAAATCTCTGGGGGAAAAAATGTCTTAATTTTATAACTTCCCCATAATTATCAAATTTTGTTTAAAAAAAGAGAAGCCGTTTATCTTCTGAATATGATTTTATAAGAGTTCTATTGTAAAATATTGTTTACCTCAGTAGGAGGTTCAGAAGGGAGGAAAACAGTTACTCCTTTGGCAACTATGACAAGGTCCAAAGATGTATGCAATTACCTCATTTATTTAGAGAACATTTTAGGACTTATAATATTCCAGACACTGTATTAAATAGTGGGGAAATAAGACCAATAAACATAATTCCGGCCCTCAAAGAACTTTATAGCTTTATGGAGAAACATCAAAATAAGGTCTTCAAAAATCTCAAAAACTTTAATCTTTAAAAATGGAATATGCCTTATATATCATGCTGGGTGGGAGAAAGGAGGTGAAAACAGTAAAGTTAAAAAAAACTGTTTAATCAAAATGATTGTTACTTGGGCAAATCATGTTCAGATCTCCTGTTGCCAAGTACAGCATCTGATAGCAGTCTTGAAATACTGATACATTTCAAGATAGACTATTTTTTATTAACTCTACCATTTGAAAGGTCAAGGTGTTCTTGTGATATCTCCTATGCAAAGATCTTATTGTGCCCCAAAGTAGTTTCCAAGTTTTTTTTCATTTTAAGCCACATTTCTAAATCTTTCAATTTTCCACAGCATACCTGAGATGAAGACAAGCAAAGAGAGTGAGTTCCACAGCCATTGGTAAAAACTGGTGCTGAAGGATGAGGAATTATTTGTGGAGATGGTAGGAAGATTATACCTCAGAAGAGAGTACATGAAGATACAATAATTTAGTGAAATTAAAAGAGAATAACATTATTAGAAACAAACCTTAGCAAAATAACTTGGCTCTATGACAGGGCTTAAGTTAGAAGTCAAAGATTATGCCCTAGGAAAGCCCCAAGTGTGATTGTGATATAGGAGGGCACGAAGTGATACAGAAGTAAATAATGTCAGTTATACGATAGATCAGCTAGGGAATACTGGCCTAAAAACTAGATTTAAATTCTAATTTTTAGGTTAACATCCTTTAGCGCTATCATCGTCGTGAAAAATCAGTCTTCAACAATGATCACTATATGTTGCAAAATTTACTGAGAGGTAAAAAACTTCATAATTTTAAAATATTAACCAACCTGGCCTACACCACCTAATAAGTTAATCACTTTTCCCCTCATCTTCATTACATACATAATGAGAAGACACTCTCTCCCTTCCCCACCTCTCTCTCTCTCTCTCACACACACACACAAACTTAACTGAAGTGTGAACTCAAGTCTTTTAAATTACATATATATAAATATTAAGGAACTTATTTCCCTCTTCTTTCAAGTACCACTTTTCCTCAAAACATACTTCTGTGTATCTCCCTATTGGAACTGCCACGTTGTTCCATACTGCTACATGCAAATCTAACAATGAAGAAAATTATTAAATTTATCCAGAAGGATGTCAAAAAAGAATACTGATCATGATGGAAGTACAAAGTATAAGTCTGATTTGCAGTCAATATAAAAATATTTACAAGGCGCCTGGGTAGCTCAGTCGGTTAAAGTGTCCAACTCTAGATCTCAGCTCAGGTCTTGATCTCAGGGTCGTAAATTCACACCCCACGTTGGGCTCCACGCTTGGCGTGAGCCTACTTTAAAAATAAATAGCTAAAATGAATATATTTATATTACAAACCACATTAAAGCAGACTTTGTTTAGACAAACTATTATTTCATATCCTTATATCCCCAAAATCTGATAATGCCCCCAAACTGACCTTGTGTAGTAGAAAATGGAAAGTAACTTACTTTCTCACATCACTATAACGGCATACCAAATCATGTCATACTATAATACAATACACTGAAGTGGGGAGGGGAAAAAAGAGCAAAAATATTCAACTATAAAGTATAAAGGTCTACTCAAAAGTGAAATCTATGAAAAACATAAGTGGATGAATCTATATCTTTTCAGATTGATCTGGTTTACAGCTGATTCAGTTTGCAGTATCATTTACATCCAAACTAGTAAGGGAAGACTGCTCTAAAGAGCTCCTTAGTTTTAAACAGGGGGGTGGGAGCGGTGGCAGGTTTACCATAACTGTTTTACTAGTTCTTCCCATTTATATTTAGAGGTAAGAAAAACAGAACATGCTCAACAGTTAAAGTAACCCATAAGCACCAATTTCAAAAACCTTTATAGGCACTAACTGGGCTACCAATTGGCATAGCATGCCTGTGAATTATGCATGACAGAGTCATGTAAAAAAAAGTTCCGTATTACTATTACTCTACTTATCTATGTCACCACAAAACAGGTTTAGGTTTTCAATAAAGAAAGATTTGTACTAATTTTCATCAAAGTACTTCACATAGCAATTTAAATATATAAATTGTTTAGAAATGGAAAAACAGGACTAAAGTCAATCACTGTTAGGTCTGAAAATGGCAGTTCTGATTTCTTAGTACTGTGCTTTATGCTTATGTTTCTCAAAGTGGAGCACTGTAAGTGTGGAGGATAATTAATGAAGGTTAATATTGAGCACAGTATCACATAATGTGATGAATTCTTGGCATATATTGTCTAATCGTTAATAATCTTAGAAGTTAAGAACTATAATGATCCCTGTCTTAACTGAAGAGGCATAAATAATCTACCCAAGTGGCAGAGGGTAGATTTGAACCTAGAGCCTAGAACCAAGGTAATGGGGAAGAGAGATAAAGTGACTGAGAGAGATCACAGAATTAACTCCCAATGTAGACAGGCATACTGCTTACTGACGGCACATAATTCCTCCTCATACTCTGGAATAGTGGTTTTCATCCCTGGCTACACATTAGTCACCTGTGGGACTTGCTTAAAAAAAAAAAACAAACCTATCCTTGCCTGGGGCCCTCACTCAGATACCTGGTGTTCAACTGACCTGGCCTGGGGAGAAGGCACCATCTTTTGTTCTTTTGTTTGTTTTTTTAATCTCTCCAGGTAATTCTAAAGGGCAGGAAGACTGAAAACCACTAATAATTCTTCTCCACCCTGTTAACCTAAGTACCCAACTACAATCAAATTTACTAATCACCTATTTGGTTCTGAGCACTTCATCTGTTCTATATTCTATTTACCCAACAAAGTGCTTAGTTTTTTTTTTCCTTAAACAGAAGAAACATTACAACTATATTAGCACCTTTTTAAATAACAAAACTTTGCCAGCTTTTCTTTGACAAGAGGAAAATAGGAGGAAAGGCAGACAGCATGAAAGAGATTGAAAAATCCCTTCTTTAAGCATCCATATACTCCTCAGGTTTAAAACAAGGTAAAAAGGTCCTAAGAGTCAAACTAAAAAATTACATGGCAGGCTATGAGACTAAAAAAGTTCTGTGATATATGTTAAAGAGAGATTTAATATCCACGATATCTCTTAATTCTGCTGGAGATGACAGTTAAAACACTAAGTAACTGCTATTGTGGTGATAAATCCCACTGTCTTCCCATGGCGCTGGGACAAGTGATTATGCAGTGTTTTTACCCTATAAGTCACCTGAACATAAACTAACAGGTGCTAAAGAAATCAAAGCATTACATAAGCATACCCAAACAACAATATGGCTGGTCATAACACGTAGTGAGAAATGCAAGGATTTTGCTGACAATCTCAAAGGAGAAGGCTTACCGTTTCACTAAAAGTTATTCACTGCACATCCCACTCACCCTACACCAAAAGTATAATGGAAACTGTTCCAGACAGTCTCAGACTTGCTGGCCCTTTTATTTTACTAAAAAGGTGAAGTGTGGAGATACCTGACAAGCATTGAAGTTTGACTTAGGATTTGAACAGGAGATCTAAAATGAAGAATATAAATACTTCAAGTTGTACAAAACTCTGGACTTCTCAGAGAAACATTACAAAACTTCCTGCTTCCGGACAGCTCATTATTTGGTTCAAGTCTTCACATTCCTTTATTAGTCATGACTCTTTACAAAGCTCTCATTCCTTATTGTCTGATTATCGGACTTTTAAATGTTGCAAATCAGATTTACAGGAACCCTTATCAAATGAAGAAACCATCCCAGAGTTCATGCCCAGAGGAGACTTAGATTACATAGAGCCCTCAGTAACCTGAGCAGTGTGTGTCCATCACGTAGATTTCCTTTTTAAAATTGGTTGTAAACATGTATCGTTCTGCATATCTCAAATATAGGTTCATCTATACATTTTTATCATATACAATTACAGGAACCTCCATTACGTCCGCAGAAATTGACTCCGCAAGAAACTGGGAAGACCTCTGAGTGTGTGTGAAAGGCACAGGCACGACAGTGAACCACTCAATGCCAAATGTCACTGGGGTCTCATATGGCCCAGATCTGGCCACAGAGCCATATGTCAATAGGCTCAAAGGCACAGACGAGGAGAGAGAACCACAGGGTAACTGGGTAAGAAAACAAGGGGGAGGCACCTCATAAATATGTGTACTTCCACCCCGAAGCTGAAGGGGTGGCCCAAAGGGCAGACCCTAAAGAAAAACCTTCCCTCCTGGGATCCGTCACGTCGCCCAGGCCTAAAGGGCCCGCTAAAGGGGGTATGGGGTTGGGGGGGGGGGGGAGGAAGGGCAGTGTCTGTCCCCACTTCAGAGACCGAAACAAATTAAATTAAAGCAAGTTCTCACTTCCTGGTCGCCTACTCTTCCCGAAGGCCTCGACACAAGACGGACACCGGGCATAGAGGGCTCCCCAGGAGTACGGGGGGAGGGGGAAGGGAAGGGGGGCCCACCCCAGCCCTGCACCTTCCCGTCCTCGCCCTCCCTTCCTCCGGGCCTTACACGGTGACGTGACCGGAGCCGCGGACCACCACTGGGTCCGGCGAGTACTTGAGCAGCTGCTCCTCCAGGGCCCGCTCTTCGTCCTCCTCCTCCTCATAGATCTCGTCGAAATCCGCCATCCTGAGCCTCCAAGGCCCCCTGCCCAAAGGGGCCTGACTCCAGGGGCTGGGGCCGGGATAAGGGCTGGCGAGGAGGCGGAGGCTGAGGGGAGTCGCTGCCGCGCGCTCAGAGGCCGCGGAGATCGATCTTGGCTGCCTCGGCTCCGGCTACAGAGGAGATGGGGTCCCGGCCGTCGCCGTCACCGCCGCCGCCATTATCATCAGCAATAACAACAACACAATGTCAACATCCGCCCAAGGGCCGACACCTCCACCAGCACCGCCGCCGCCGCCGCCGCCGCCGCAGCAGCAACTCAGGCAACCACAGCAACAGCCAGAGCCACCCGCAGCGGGAGCAGCCGGCTACGGCATCGCGAGACTTCCCGGGAGGAGTGCGGGCGGGTGCGTGGGCGCCGGTGTGCGCAGGCTGGCGGGCGGGAGCGCGCACGTGAGGCCTCGCGCGCTCCCAGGGCGCCTTGCTTCCTTCCTCCGCCCGCCCCGACCCCCGCCGCCGCCGACGCCTTGGGAGCGCGCTCCCGCCGGCGAGGTCCCGCCCTCCACGAAGTGGGTTGCGGTCCCGCAAGGGATGTCTCAGAGGCCCGAAGGCGTTGACCCCGACTCAGAGAATGGAGCTCGGAGTGTCCAGTGGAGCACTTAGTCACCTAAAGTAATCTCGAATCAAAACAACTAAAAATAAAAACACTGGTTGGAATAGAGAATTTATAGTGCGTGTCTGCCTGTTTATCTAATAATTGAATCTCGCTTTTTGTCAGTTTTTTAGTCTTGATGAGAACCAGAGTCTGTACTTTCCTAATTTAGGGAGCCCAACAGAAACACTGCAAATATTTTTGCCCACTTTAATACAGGAATTTTCAAAACATGTCCAAATTCAAACCTTGTGTCTTATCATAATCCCTTTAAATATAGTCCAATATATGAAGCCAATGATGCTTTTTTTTTTTTAATAAGAAAACCCACTGTAGTCATGCCATGAAGCAAAACTGACATTCTCTGGATTCCAGAGATGCAGTTTCCTGCCACAACTCCCTCATCAACCATAACCTGTTTTCTTCAGTTAGGACTATAGGGAATCCCTTTTCCTTCCTTACAGCTCCTCCCACCAAAGGGAAGAGTGGAGAAGAGAGGGGAGGGCAGGAAGAGAATAATGGATTCTACTTACCTACCTAGACAACTGGTAAAGGCCTAAGGGTCACTTTGGGTACTTAGTTTCATAGTCAAGAAACTGTCCAGACATACAAGAAGTTCAGGGGCAGGAGTGAGCCCCGGAGAGTCCTGGATAATGATTATACACCGTGGAGGCAGGAGAAGATAGCCACACTGGATCCGTGTTCGCATTCTGACATTTCCCTTTAGATGGGTCACTGTTGAACTTGAGAAAATGCAAAAGAGAACAATAAAGTCAGCAAGAAATACCATTTTCTTATTGGAAATGGTTGAGGGAAATGAGCGTAGCTAGCCAAGAAAAGATAAAGGAAAAACACAGTAGTTGTATCAGACTTGCTGTATATCTCCCCAGAGGACATTTATTCATTCAACAAATATTTACTGAGCTCTAACTGTGTGTCAGGCACTGTGTGTGTGTGTGTGTGTGTGTGTGTATGAGATACAGTCCCTCTAATCTAGTAGCTTATTTATCACTAAGGTAAGCAATTATAATTCTGTCCAGTGCTCCCAGAGGAGTTTACAGAGGGTACTAAGGAAGCACACAGAAGGCAGCTTAGTTTGGAGGTTAGCAATGGGGTCTGAAGCGTGACTGCCTGCCTTTGAATCTCAACTCTGCCACTTACTATGTGACCCTGAATAGGTCCTTACCCTCTCTGTTCCTCATGTGTAAAATGAGGATAAAAGTACCTTCCCCCACTGGTCTGCTCTGCAGATATATGAAATGCTCAGAAGAGGGCCTGGCACACAGAAACTATGGGGCAGCAATAGGGATGTCTAAGGCCCCACCTCACTAATCAGCTCTATGAGGATGAGCACAGTTGTTTGCATTATGCAATGCTTTATGGTTTATAAAGCACATACATAACAAATCACTTAATAATCCCCAAGAACCCAATGAGGTAACTAAGGAGGATGTAATTTCTTCCTTCACTTCAGAGATGCTCTGTGACTTTCTCATGGCCAAATGGCTATTTCATAGTCCCACTCAGGGCTTCAGCTTCAGTGCACTGGTAAGCCAAGCTCCTGAATTTCCTTCTTGGCAGGAACCAAGAGGCCGGTGGCGGCACTCTGTTGAAGGAATGGCTGCAAATGGGAGGGTGAGAAAAGGGAATGAGAGGATGGAAGGTCAGTATGTTCCAGGCCTGGCCCGCACCCAGCGTACCATAACTGAGAATTCACCTTTCTGTGGAAACAGTGCCAAGATAAGGGACTGGTGCCCCAATGTATCTAAACCATCATATAGCTGACAACTTCCCGAAGGCAGAGGAAGTCACCCACAGCCCCTTCCATCTCAACGGTTTCCCAAGTTCCTGCTTCAGAAAAGGAACCCAATCAAGGTTCTCTGAATTGAGGCATGTTGTTACTAGTACTAGCTCCAGAACATCATGAGTTAATTAGGCTTCTGAGGACTATGAGAATGTCACCCTTTATCTTAACACTGGTTCTGTGTGGGAGAAATGTTCTTATTCTAAGATCTATTCAACAGGGAGGTTTTTGTGTCTCCTGCCTCAGTGTAAGGTGGGGGCTGTCTTATTTTTGTTCTTCCTATTTTGCTCTTCTTTTTCCTGCTCTGAAAAACCTGTCAGAGCTAGCAAAAGGGTGTGGGACCTGGAAATGAGGTGGAGAAGATGAGAGAAGATGAGTTGAATATTTCCCTGATGGTGGTTGACGTCATAATCCCAAACTCCACCCCCAACCCTCCAGGGTCCGGTTTCCTGTCAAACTCCTGCCCGAGTCTCTTCCTGGGGGCAAACTCCCCTTTCTCAGTATATTTTCCCTCAGTATCCAGGTGTTCCCCTGCTCTGTACTGTATAGACGCCTCTCCGTTTGTGATCCCCTTTACATTCCTGCTTCACACACTTACCACATTTCCCTTCAGACTAAATGGCTCAAAACCAAACAAGATAATGCCTCATGAGGCAACAGATCTTCAGTTGATTTTAAGGCAGATATTCCTAGGTTTGAAACTTCCAAGTTCTGTCACTACCTAGCTAAGTGGCTGTGGGCAGATTCAACTTTCTAAGTCTCCTTTTCTTCATCCTGAATCAGAATCTATGTCATGAAATTATCAAAGACCAAATGAGGTAATGCTATGGACTGAATTGTGTCCCCCAACAAATTTATGTGTGGAAATACTAACCCCCATTGTGATGATAGTATTAGGAGGTAGGGCCTTTGGAGGTAATTAGGTTTGGATGAGGTCATGAGGGTAGGTCATCCCGATGGGATTAGTGCTTTATGAAGAGACCAAAGAGCTTGCTCTCCCCACCACTCTCCACTTGGTGTGAGGATACAGAGAAAAGACTGCCGCCTGCAAGACAGGAAGCTATCTCTCACCAGGAGCCAAATAAGCCAGCCTTTTGATCTTGGACTTCCAGTCTCCAGAGCGGTGAGAAATCAACTTCTGTTGTTCAAGCCACCCACTCTATGGTATTTTGTCATGACAGCCCAAGCTGACTCTGACAGCATGTAAACCCTCACTTTTTCACTCATTCCTTCATTAAGTATATATGCACTGAATTACTCCCATGTGCCATATTCTGTGCCAGGAACTAGGGTTTAGCAATAAGATATTAAACAAAACACAATCCCTGCCTTCATGCAGCATAAAGTCCATTGTGGAGGGCTGACCAGTAATTACAAAAAGGATTAGCTAGACTTCTAGAATTAGAATTCTACTATTAGAATTGTAGTCAGTCCTGTGGAGAAGTACAGGGGACCATGAGACTAGTTAATGGTCCTAACCTCACTCTAAGAAATCAGGAACTCTTCTCTAGAGAAATGACATTTAAGATGACGAGTCAAGCAAAAGTATGAGGATAGGGAAATAGAAGGGAAGAGAAAGCTCCAGACAGTGGGACCAGCATGTTTGTAACAAAAGTCTGGGCCACTATAAGAGACTACCATAGACTTATACACAACAGAAATTTATTTCTGCACCCCCATGATCTAATCATCAACCAAAGTCCCCACCTCACAATACCATCACATTGAGAGTTAAGATTTCAACCTATAAATTTTGGGGAAACACAAACATTCAGTCTATAGCAATGTTTAAAGACTCTAAGGCAGAAAAGAGAATGACCTAAATCAGGTACAAACTAAAGCCAGTGTGGTTGGACCGTAGTAAGGAAGGCAGAGCCAAACTGAGATGGGGTCAGGAGGTTGATAGAAACTTGAAGGCCTTGGTAAGGAGTCTGAAGTTCATCCTGAAAGTAAAGGAGATACACTGAGGATGTGAAGCCAGGCAGTGGGTCTAAGAAAGCCAGTGTATTTTAAAATTCCCAAATGGGAGACTAGTAGTCCAACCTACCCAGAATGCATCCCCTACTTCTTTTGAAAACAGCACATCCCCAAGATGATTTGTGGTAAATCATACCTCCCCCACTCTCAGTACATGTGACTGGGTTAAGCTAATCATATCCCCAATTACAAGAGTGAGCTCATGGCCTAAAGCTAGCAAATCAGAGAGCATGGGATAACCTTGGGGCACAGTGATTGGTTTGAATGGACACATGATTCAGATAGAGCCATAGAGATTCAGTACCAAGACTTTTAATGGAACTATGGGGAAGGGGGAAAAATCTCTTTTTCTATGAATCTATTAGGAGCTATGTTGTTCTTGCAATGGTAGAAAATGCTTGGGAATGATGCCAACCCTGAGGAAAGCAGGACCAAGGGATGAAGCAAACATGGCTTTGTCTTGATGATCATGTTTGAGTCCCCTGAGTTCAGCCACACCTAAAGATCTGGGTTTGTAGGAGAGGATAATGGATTCAGTTTGCAGAATGTGAGACACCTGATGGAGACGCCCAGTAGAACATAGATAAACATATTAGAAAGATAGATGGAGAGATGTGTGCATGCATGAATGGATAGACAGATAATACAGAGAGCGGAAATGGGAGAAAAGGGGAGGAGACTCAAATCAGAAGTCTTGGCGGGAAATAAATACATTGGGATCCATCAGCCAATAGATGGTAAAAGTAAGCATAGCAATGACCGAGATGGCAGGGCACCTGCGTGGCTCAGTCAGTTGAGCAACTGACTCTTGGTTTTGGCTCAGGTCCTGATCTCATGGATCGTGGGATCGAGCCCCCAAGCCGGGCTCAGTATTCATTGGAGACTCTGCTTGAGATTCTCTCCTCTCCCTCTGCCCCTCCCCCTACCTCTCTCTCTCTCTCTCAAATAAATAAATCTTAAGAGAAAGAAAGAAAGAAAGAAAGAAAGAAAGAAAGAAAGGAAGGAAGGAAGGAAGGAAGGAAGGAAGGAAGGAAGGAAGGAAGGAAGGAAGGAAGAAAGGAAGGAAGGAAGGAAGAAAGAAAGGAAGAACCGAGATGGCTCAAAAGCCAAGAGGTGAGATGGCCTAGGGAGAGAGTGAGAAGATAAGAGTATCTAGGATGAAGGAATTTCAGTTGATTCCAGATGGGGAGAGGAGGAGGGACTGACAAAGGAAATTGAGAGGAAATAATCAAAGTGGCCAGAGGCAAACTGACACAGTGTGGTGTTACAAGTGAAAATAAGGAAAGAAAAAGGAGGTAGTAATCATCATGTGAGACACTGCAGAGATGATGCAAAATAGGAACCAAAGAGTGGAGTGTCCACTGTATCTTGGAGAAGGACTCAATCAATATCTATAACGAGTAATTTGACAGAGCCAACTCAGAACCCCTTGACTCTGCAAACACACAGAAATCCTAAATCAAATAAGGGTCCCTGGGTGGCTCAGTCGGTTGAGTGACTGACTCTTGGTTTGGGCTTAGGTTTGATCTCAGGGTCCTCAGAGCAAGCCCCTTGTCAGCTCCATGCTCAGCGGGGAATCTGCTTCAGGACTCTCTCTCTCCCTCTCCCTTTGCCCCTCCCCCCTCGCACGCGCACACTCTCTCTCTCAAATAAATAAATAAAATCTTTAAAAAAAAACCCGCATCGGGCTCCCCGCTCTGCAGGAAGTCTGCTTCTCCCTCTGCCTCTCTCTCTCTCATGAATAAGTAAATAAAATCTTTAAAAATCTTTAAAAAAAAAATCCTAAATCATATATAACCATTAAAAAACAGTAATAGAGGGGAGCATAACTCCCCACTCCTTAAGTGAGGGCTGTGCATAGAGACTTCCTCCCAAAGAGTGTGGTATGGAAAGTAAGGAAGACTAACCACCCTGGTGACACCTGACAAACACTACTGCAGCCAGGTGATCAAGGTCAACATCAACAGCTGTCAATCATGTTGATAGTAGGTACCTTTGTTATGATATGGCACCTATGGTGAAAATGGCACCTAACCTTTCCCAAACACCCATAACCCCACTCTAATCATGAGAAAAACATTAGACAAATTCCAATTGTGAGATATCCTGCAAAACACCTGAACGGTACTTCTGACAACTGTCAAGGTCATCAAAAACAAGAAAAATCTGAGAAACTGTCACAGCCAAGACGAGCCACAGAAAACATGATGACTAAATGTAATGTGGTATCCTGAATGGGATTCTGAAACAGAAAAGGAAATTAGGTAAAAACTAAGGAAATCTGAATAAACTATGGACTTTAGTTAATAATAATGTATCAATATTGGTTCATTAATTTTAGCAAACATACCTCAAGATGTGAATAATAGAGAAAATAGTATAGGGAACTGTCTGGACTATTTTCTCATTTTTTCTTAAATTCTAAAACTGCTCTAAAAAATAGTCTATTAAAAAAATAGTAATATAGTAAATACTAAATTCAAAAGAGAGGAGAAACATTTTAGTTCCAGAAGCAAAAATGAAGCCTAAAGCTTGAGTGATAGACTCATAGACTATACCATGGGGCTGGGAGGGGGAAGTGGGTAGGGAGGGAGGTATTGGACCAGAAGTAGTTCCGTGGAGCTAAAGGCAGGAGTTGTAACACTCAGGCTGTGTTAGGAGACTTGGCCATAGGTAGGTGTAAGGCAAGAGCACACAACCAACCAGGAAGAGCTGCAAGACAGAAACCAGAAAAACTCTGCCCATGGGCCCAAGGAAGCAATGTGGAAAGTTTTTCTCCTGGAATTCTGCACATATCAACCCGCTTAGCCTCACAGACATCCTTATAACGTAGGTACCATCTTCATCCCTATTTTACATATATCCCAACTGAGGCAAAAGGAAATTAGGTAACTTGGCCCAAGGGGTCATGTAACTAGAAAGTGGTAGAACCAGATTTGAGCCTAAACAGTATGTTTCCTATCCCATGATCTTACCACTTTGCTCTACAGTCTTAAACACCAGCAGAGAAACATTCAGATTATTTCCCTCTATTTTCCCAATACCTACAACAGTGCTTGGCATATATTTAGTGCCTTATAAATATTAAATAGATGGCTACATGTATGAAATCATCCTGTTTCCATTTTTCCTTGATGATTTCACACTGTATATACATATTTACTGTGTCTGTCCCCAAATATTTTTATAATAAAACTATAAAATCCATTTGGATTCTCTTAGATTACCCTAGAATAGTATCTATGGCTGATTTAAAGCAATGCTGTAAATATGTCATACAAGTTCTACTGGGTTTTCTTCACTGCCATCTTTTACATTCACAAGTGTCTGGAGACTACTCCTAAAACTATAGGCTCACAGAACCAGAATGGAGCCCATGAGTCATCTTGTCCACACTGACTCCAAAACTTTGCTTCAGTCTAAATCACATGGTGTTTCCTTCTCTTTTGAACACCTCAATAATTACATTAAATAACTATAGCATATCAGGCATATGCAAAAATACGATGTTCTTCCACAGTTTTTAAAGACTGCATTCTTTAAGGTCTAAGACTATGTCTTGGCTTTTTTTTTTTTTTTTTTTTCCCTTCCAATCCCTTGAATATTGCCTGGAATCCAAGAGTCATTCAACACATCTTCATCTGTTAATTCTCATTCCAATCTCTAGGGAGACAAGTTTACTCTTTCTTCTAGGTGACAGTCCTTCAAATAAGTGACGATATCCCCACTTGAAATCTTTTATCTTTGAGCTAAATGTGCCCATTTACTTCAACCATTTTTCCTCCAAGAAGGTAGTTTCAAGTTCCTGACTCTTTGCAGAGACTGCATCTGACTCCTACCAGCTTCCTTTGGTGAATAGCCTTTTTATTATTTGGGGCTCAAAACCAGTGATTTGACCATTGTGACAGCCAACCTCCAAGATGATCCCTACTGAGCCTCATCATCTAGTATTCCCCTTCTGTAGTCCCCTCCCACACCGAATAGAGCTGACTGGTGTGACCAGTGGAATTTGTGAATGTGACAGTATATGACTTCTTTTTTTTTTTTTTTAAGATTTTATTTATTTATTTGACAGAGAGACACAGTGAGAGAGGGAACAGAAGCAGGGGGAGTGGGAGAGGGAGAAGCAGGCTTCCAGCTGAGCAGGGACCCCGATGCGGGGCTCGATCCCAGGACCCTGGGATCATGACCTGAGCCAAAGGCAGGCGCTTAACGACTGAGCCACCCAGGCGCCCCGACAGTATATGACTTCTGAGTCTACGTTATACAAGACATGGTGGTATCCATATTATTCTCTTAAATCACTCACGCTGGAGGGAAGTCAGCTGCCATGTCATGAGGACATTCAAATCCACTATAGGGAGGCTCATATGGAGAGAAACTGAGGCCTCCCGCCACTCATATGAATTAAGCCATCCTTAAAGCAGATTTTCCAGCCCTAATCAAGCCTTCAGCCCCAACAGCAGCCCCAACTAACATGTTGACTGCAATATTATGAGACCCTGTGCCAGACACCCAGCTAAGCTGCTTATCAATTTCTACCCCACTGAAACTGCCAGAAATAACCAACATTTATTCATTCTTCTTTCAGCCACGAAGTTTTGAGGTACTCAGTTATGTAGCAATAGACGATTATTATAGCCAAGTTAGAAGAAACAGGAACTCGCTCTTCCTTCTTGACCCTGGATATCATAAGAAATGGTAGGAAGACAAAGAAAAATAGATTGAATAGATTGATTAAACTATTAATTTTGAAGGTTTTGGGTGTGTGTGTGTGTGTTTGTGTGTCCATTTGTCAAAGTTTCTTTGGTATCTTTTTTGGTTGTTTTATGCCTCTGTAGCGATGCCATAATTCCATACTTATACAGACACACAGTACATAACTTTTGAAATATTGTGCTTCACCTTTAAGGCTTGAGGGACACAACCAATTTTTGCTCCTGAATGGGTGTGATGATAATCTATTCTGCATCCTTTTGGAACTCTTACTGGGAGCCAATGGCCTTCTTACTCACCCATGTTAAGAGTTTTCTACACTTCGGGGCGCCTGGGTGGCTCAGTCATTAAGCGTCTGCCTTCGGCTCAGGTCATGATCCCAGGGTCCTGGGATCGAGCCCCGCATCAGGCTCCCTGCTCTGCGGGAAGCCTGCTTCTCCCTCTCCCACTCCCCCTGCTTGTGTTCCCTCTCTCGCTGTCTCTGTCAAATAAATAAATTAAATCTTTAAAAAAAAAAAAAAGAGTTTTCTACACTTCTTTGAATGGGGTCCAGTGAAGAGTTGGATTTAGTAGTGAGAGTCAGGCTGGACTTCTCACGTGATTGAGGTTAGCCAGCACCCAGCATCGTATGGGAACGTGGGTCTGCGGCCACACCACCCTGAACGCGCCCGATCTCGTCTGATCTCCGAAGCTAAGCAGGGTCGGGCCTGGTTCGTACTTGGATGGGGGATATGGGAGACAGCCTACCTCTGTGTTCTCTCTCACTGCTCACCCTACCCCAACACATATGCACTGGCCTTGCTGTGATGTGCTTTCACTCACATTCTAATTTTTTCTTATAATATTTTCTCATGTCATTTTCTTTCTGAACGTCTTTTTACATTCACACTTTCGAAGTTTCTTTCTTTTTTTTTTTTTTAAGATTTTATTTATTTATTTGACACAGAGAGAGAGAGAGAACACAAGCAGGGGGAGTGGGAGAGGGAGAAGCAGGCTCTCCGCTAAGCAGGGAGCCCGATGCGGGGCTTAATCCCTGGACCCAGGGATCATGACCTGAGCCGAAGGCAGGCGCTTAACCGACTGAGCCACCCAGGCGCCCCTCAAAGTTTCTTTCTTTTCTAGTCATTGGCTACCGTGTTTCAACCTCTTCTTAAAATGTGAGTTACTTTTATATAAAACTAAATTTTGAAGGTAGAATCCTCTCAAATTAACTTTAGGGCTTCAATATTCAAGGTATTGTGTTGCTCCTAGTGACATTAAGCACTTAAGAAGATGCATGAACAATTTTAGGCTTTGGGAGATCAACTAATAACTCTGTGCGTGGTGTATTTAAAGGTATCAATTGTGTCCTTAGAAGATGTAATGAGCTATGAGGTATTTGGGGGTTCAGAAAATGAAATGCACCCTACTGCCATGAGAATAACTTATACCTGGAGGCACAAAATAGTTGTAAGTGAATTTCCTCAGAACTCTTGCTATCATCTTTATTGTTGTAGTTAATTGCACCATGGGAAGACATTCAGATATGAACATGTAAAAGAATGCAGTCTTTATTCAGAAAAATAGGGTAAAAGTGAGGCAAAGAGATAAGCCCATCTACAAGGAAAAACAATATTTATATCAGTGTTTACATAGTGCTAAACATTTCACAAAACATTTTCATTTTTGTCTCCTCTCACCCTCACAACACTCCAATGAAAAAAACTGGGATATTATTTCCATTCTATAAATTTCAGAGGAAACAGGTTAAATAACTTACTCGAGCTCAAGTGGCTCTTGAAAGGCTGAGACACAGTGAAGATCGAAGAAAGATTCCTTTTGTTTCTGTGGGTAAGTTTCCACTACCAAGAAGGGAAGATAAATAAGGAAAAAATACAAACTTAATGAGAAAATTAGGCTAACCGTTTTTACATAGTATAATGAGGAACGGCTGAGTGGTTATAAAAAGCTCATTTCCCTCCCCAAACACTTAACATTCCCAGGATGATATTTAAGAAACAGGAAACTGGGTTGACTCAATACTTGTTATCCTCATCTGTGTAGTGGAGCTAATTATAGCAGTCATTGCACAGAGCTGTTGCAAGGATTAAATGAGATAATATACATAAAGAATGGTAAGTATTCAATAAGTGTTAGTTGTTATTATTGATGGTGGTGTTATTTCAATCAGGGTGGACAGAATACTAGAATAAAGAGCTGTAGATACGCATTTTCATGCTGCACTGTAATCAGCCTACCCTAAATTATCTTCCTTCAATTCTCTTATCTAGAGAATGAAGACAATGTTCCTGTCTAGCTGCCTTCCTCACAGAAACAATTCATCATGCCAGATCATGTTCTGAGCATTTATAAAGCCACAGAGAAAGACAAGAAAATACTGCAACCATTTCTCTCCTGGGTTTTGTCTCTCTTTGCCCTTCTGAGCAAAGCCATACGGCAAGGCAGTGGAAAGTGTTTATGAGTAGTCATCCAGTCAGACCTACACAGGTGCTGGGCAACTTAAAAATTCAATGGCTGAACTGGAAAGAACAGTCAACTTGACTTATTGTTCTCTGAGATTCAAACGAACAGTTCATATCATCTATAAGAGGTTCACTGAGGGGGCAATACGTGTCTCATCCAAAGAATAGACAGATTATTTTACCATGGATTAGCATAGTGATTAGCCTGTGAGAGGTTTGTCCACAGGAGATAGTTCCTCTAAATATCCTTGCAAGGCTGTTGTGCCTGTTCACCTTAGAAGTGATCCCACTTAGGCTCGGAGATCTCATTCTGCCTGCCGTCTGTTGGATCCCTGTAACTTCATTCCCACAACACCCCACTGCCAACCATGAGGAACTGATGTTTAAGGGCGTGTCACGTGAGCAGGTGAACCTTCTTGTTGGTATCACAGAACAGCTGATCATTCATGATTAGATCATGACTGTTGATGAAATCAGGGCCATTCGGATCCATCTACACCCTGTGGCATGCGATTCTACCCTGTCCTGCCTGATTTGAGATGCTTCAGGAATGATGTAACTTGGCAAATGAATCCAAAATCAAAAGCTCTTTAGATGATAATCTTAGATCAACTACAAGTGATGCCAGTCAACCCATGAATATAATAGGTCTCACATGTTGATTTTATAATTAGTGCCCACTAATGGAGGGGCTTTTTCAGGTTACTGAAATGAGCTTACAAATGTTAGATAGCTCGGGACCCTATCATCACACACACGTCAAACGCCATTCTGATAAATGCCACCGCCAAAGCCTTAGATTACTTTCTGTTCTCATTCCTAAGATGATCAAAAACAACATTTTGATGGTCATGTTGAACAGAGCAATTCAGTCAGATTTAATTGAGCCAGATTAGGCTCATACCATTAGGGAATAGTCCTTCAATCCTTTTAAATCCCCCTTTTGTTTCTGGATCATAATTAAAATAACATAGAACGACTTTATTAATATAGTTTGAACTATATTCGTCTGTACTGAGCCTGTCTTTCAGTTTTCTGTCCACTCAAACTTAAGAGATCTTCTTGTGATTTATTAGCTCTTATCTTCACATTTTCCTACGTGACACTGAATTACACAATCTTAGAAATTTTACTGTATACTTTCTCTTCCAGTTTAGTGTTAAAACTTCCCTTTCCAGAAAACTGACTTTATCCTTATCTTTTGATTTCTTCCATTTTTTCTATATTTTCTTTCTCCTGAGATATGTTATTTCTTTCAGCTATAATCATAAGGACCTCTTTTTTCTCTCTTTTCCTTAACTAGTATCTCAAAGGTGTTTTAAGCACTGACTGAACAACTGTATTAAAAATTTTAACCACATGCCATTTTTTTAAAGATTTTATCTATTGGTTAGAGAGAGAGAGCACAAGTAGGCAGAGAGGCAAGCAGAGGGAGAGGGAGAAGCAGGCTCCCCCCTAAGCAGGGAGCCCGATGCGGGGCTCAATCCCAGGACCCTGGGATCATGACCTGAGCTGAAGGCAGATGCTTAACCGACTGAGCCACCCAGGCGCCCCTACCACATGTCATTTTTGAAGATTAACAGTGAAGAAGATTTCTTTGCACTTAGACTATATACTAGTAGATACAAAAGTACTTCTCAAAAATATTTAGTCAAGGGCGCCTGGGTGGCTCAGTTGGTTAAGCGACTGCCTTTGGCTCAGGTCATGATCCTGGAGTCCCGGGATCGAGTCCCATATCGGGCTCCTTGCTCAGCAGGGGGTCTACTTTTCCCTCTGACCCTCCCCCCTCTCATGTGCTCTCTCTCTCTCAAATAAATAAATAAAATCTTAAAAAAAAAATATTTAGTCAAGGGGAGCCTGGGTGGCTCCATCAGTTAAACATCTGTCTCCTGATTTCGGCTCAGGGGTCATGATCTCAGGGTCCTGGGATAGAGCCCCTTGTTGGGCTCCCCCTCAGCAGGGAGTCTGCTTGTCTCCCTCTCCCTCTGCCCCTCCCCTCTGCTTGCACCCTCTCTCTCTCTCTCAAATAAATTAATAAATCTTTTTTAAAAAACTTAGTCAAAAGGATGCATATTTTAACCTCTCTAGGACATTGGCTAGTAGCTATCAACTGTCAAAATCAGCATTTCCCAATGTGATTTTATTCTGAGAAAATCTAGCCCTGTAAAATGCTTCTAGAAAAAAACAAAGGGAAAGGAAAATATTTTTTCATTTTCCTTTCTTTTCTTCATCTTTTTTTTCTTTTTTTAATATCAATTGCTATGCTTTAAGTTGCAATTAACAAATTGAATTCGAACTGTTTCAAAAAATGAAGATATTTATTGGCTTCACTGATGGTTAAAGTCTAGAGATGGGGCAGGCAAAATGCAATTTGCCCAGGCCTCCAGCTCCATTTCTGGACTCTGCTTACATCTGTGTATCAGATTCTTCCCTCTTCTCTACAAAATGACTGCAGCAGATCCAGCCCTCATATGTACACATTGCACTCTCCAGAGCATTAGAGAGAATCATTATTCTTTAAAATTTCTGAGATTTGCTCTTATTGGACCTTCTCAGGTCACATGGTATCCACCAAGCCAATCATTGTGGAAGGGATAACATACTGATTGGCTTAGCGTAGATCATATGTTCCTTTGTGGAGCCATAGATAGTGTGAAGGTCCCCAGAATTCCAAGGCTGAAACCATACACTATTAATGCTGCAGAAGCAACTAACAGGGGTGCCTAGGTGGCTCAGTCAGTTAACGACTGCCTTCAGCTCAGGTCATGATGGGATCCAGCCCCGCATTGGACTCCCTGCTCAGAAGGGAGCCTGCTGCTTCCTCCCCCTCTGCTGGCCGTGCACCCTGCTTGTGCTCTCTCTGTCAAATGAATAAATAAAATCTTAAAAAAAAAAAAAAAGAAGCAACTAACAGGTGTCCACGATAAATAAATTTGGAAAATACTGGCTTATACCCACTTCTTAGTTCAAGCACAATCCTGAAAATGAGGAAGTCTTCAAACCAGAGAATAAGCACGAGGAAGAGAACAGCCACATGAGAATTATTATCACTAAAACTTAATATAAGACTATTGAAACAGAAGCCCTGTTAGGACAAAATTTCTCTGTTATGCTCACCACTTTTCCCTGGTGCCTTGAAGAGTGCTTGACATATTGTAAGCACTCAAATATTTGTTGAATTAATGAAAGAACTGGTTTCTAATGAAGGGCCTTTTATCTGAGAGCTTTGTTCTCACAGGGAAAGCGGATCCTTAAAACTCTGAGTAAGCCCGTTCTGAGGAAATGGGCATGAGGAGGAGTGATATTTTTTTCAGTTCTCCATGAGGTCCGGCCTTGCAGTTGCTGAGGCAGGTCCTACTTTCCTTTACTTCCCCATCTATGCTGACCAAGACACTCATCCGCTGAAGGAAATTAGCATCCCTGTGTTCCTGCAACCTCAAATTTAATTACAGCATTCAGTATGCAGCCCTGTGCAAGGAAGAATGGAAAGAGATAAAAAAATACCAAAAACTGTTTTTGTTTTAAGAAACAGACAGTATGGCAAGATTATGAACTGTAGAGTCTCAAAGACTGGGGTTTCCACCCAGGTTATGCTCTTTACTAATCATGTAGCCTCAAGCAAATTACTTAACCTCTTTGAACCTCGATTTTCTCATCTGTAACATGAGGATGATCTCCTCACTCTTTACTGTGACAATCAAGTGTAATAACGTGGTAAAATGCTTAGTACGGTGTCTGCCGTACCACTCAGTGAATGAATCAGTCATTATTATTCCCATCATCCAAAAAACTTCAAATTGACCTTGTTGACTAGTTCATTCAACTCAACAATCTTTCTAGGTGATGCTGAGGGTTAGTTTACAAGATATTGCTCTGGAAAAATAAGGGTATTCATAAGTATCCTAAAGAATTAGGATATACCATATAGAGATAAAACTTATAATTAAGCATACATGGCAACACTGAGGAATTTTGGATAATCTGAGTTGTTACCATTAGGAAGAAGTCATATGAAGAAGCTACCACTTTGAGGAGCATTTTATTTTTTTTTAAGATTTTATTTATTTGTCAGAGAGAGAGCACAAGGAGGGAGAGTGGCAGGCAGAGTGAGAAGCAGGCTCCCCGCTGAGCAAGAAGCCTGATGTAGGACTCCATCCCAGGACCCTGAGATCATGACCTGAGCCAAAGGCAGATGCTTAACCCACTGAGCCACCCAGGAGTCCCTTGAGGAGCATTTTAAAGATCAAAACTGGATGAGTGAGAAAAGGATAGAAGCACTTTAAATGGGGAAAGGTGTGGGTAAGAAGCCCCACATATGGGGCTGTATGTGCTGTGACCACAAACAGGTCTGCCTGGTTGAAGCAGAGAGGTTGATCCAG